CTGAAGAGGCAAAAACTGCCGAAGAGAGGGTAGCCACCACTTTTCCACCGTTACTTCCCCCCAAAGCGATGGCTGCGTAAAAATTCACACATTTCAACACAGGAGAAGATGACAGATGGTCTCGCGACACTGTCTTTGAGGAAGCGAGAGAACTGAGCAGCAGCAGCAGCCGCCGCCTCGAGGCTGTCTCCTCTTCAAACTCTAAAGTGAAGAAGTTGAAGAAGAAGAAGATGGCCTCTCTTGTCTGCTCGCGAAGTAGCAATCGTCAATTTTAATCACCACCTGCGAATCGAGTTCGAGCAACAGCAGTGTGGTTGGCAGGCACGTTCATCTTTTCGTTCATGGTTAGTACCGCCGCCGCCGCCGCCACANGTAGCAATCGTCAATTTTAATCACCACCTGCGAATCGAGTTCGAGCAACAGCAGTGTGGTTGGCAGGCACGTTCATCTTTTCGTTCATGGTTAGTACCGCCGCCGCCGCCGCCGCCGCCACGATCTCGGTCGTTCGGGTGAAGGTGAGTGGGGCGTTCTAAAGTAATCTGTATGTATATGTGTGCTAAGTGGTTTGAGACACATCTTTGAAGAGAAGGAGAAAGTGGTGGTACCACCATCACTGCTATTTCACACATACAAGGCACGACTTTTTTTGTACCAGCCGTACAAAGTGGTCACCACCTTCTTCTTCTTGTACGCACTTCTTGTCCAAAGGAAGGGCTTTGAGGTATAAAAGTGTAGTGTAGTCTACTGTACTGAACTCTAGTTCGGCGCAGCCACTGCTGACAGAGCGATGTTCACTAACCACCAGCACTAGAACTAGCACACTAGAACTCTAGCCTAAAATTTTGTCTGTTCACGCCAAAGCAGTGTGTGTTTGATCCTCAGCATCCTCAGTTGATATTATCTGCGTTGTTCTATCTCTCACGCTATCTGCACCAGTTTATTACCAGCCCCTCCTCCTCCTCTTCTTTTGTTGTAAGTGGACTTCTTCTACTTTTCCCATCCTCCTCCTTCAACAGTCTTAGAAAGACTTTTCAGCCTTCGTCTTCGTCGAACACCAACTGAACAACTCAACTACACCCCAAACATACTCAGTAGGTAGATGCCATCGAGACTATCTTAAGAGAAAGAAAGACCCCTTCTAAAATTACCCCACCAAACTTTGTTTTATACGGCGAATGGTGTGGTATTTTGTCTGTTTGGATTCTTTTGAATTTGCATGTCCATTAAGATAGATCGCATGGTATCTACTTACTGCTGTACTGGAGCATCTGTCCTCAGCCCTCACTCTCTTTCTCACTTCAACTTTTCAACTTTTATTCAATTTTATTAGAACAACTTGCAGTTTCTAATTTGTTCTTTCTTATCTTTGTTCATCCAATTACCAGAACTCTCAAAGCGTCTTCTATCTACAACAACATCCTTCTCATCATGACTCCTCGACCTCAGTCAACGCTGGTGGAAGAGTCAACCACTGCTGCTCACCCGGACACCGCCGCCGCCAACAATGGACTGACCCTGGAAACTAATGGACTGACCAATGGCCTACTGAACGGAAACCACCTCTTGACTGACTCCCTCAACAACAACAGCTCACTCTTGAACACGAAAACTCCCGAATGTCTGATCGCCAACTCCGAGCCGATTGTCATCTCCGGCATGGGCGGCCGCTACCCCGAGTCAGAGTCGGTGGACGAGTTTGCCACCAATCTCTACGCCAAGGTGGACATGATCACGCTGGATGACCGTCGCTGGCCAACTGGTAACCATTGAAAACCTTTTAAAAAAATTTGTTACAAAAATTAATCCTCTTTTTCTCCACCACCTCCTTAGACCTCTACGAGATGAACCACCGCATGGGCAAGCTGAAGACAATCGACAAGTTTGACGGCGCCTTCTTTGGCTGGCGCAACCGTCTGGGCGACTCCATCGACCCCCAGGGCCGCATCCTTCTGGAGACGGCCTACGAGGCAATTGCCGACGCGGGCGTCAACCCGCAGACGCTGCGAGGCTCCCGAACGGGCGTCTACGTGGGTCACTCGACGATCGGCATGCCTGACGGCCTGCCCACGACCATCGACCCAACGGTGCGCACCTCCATCACCGACAGCATGAGCTGGATCCAGGGGACGGCCAAGTCGATGTACGCCAACCGCCTGTCGTACTTCTTCGACTTTCGCGGCCCCTCCATGACCATCGACACCGCCTGCTCCAGCTCGATGGTGGCGCTCGATGTGGCGGTGACCGATCTGCGCGCCGGAAAGATCGACCAGGCGGTGGTGGGCGGGACGAATGTCAACCTGCAGCCCTTCACCAACTACTTCTACCAGAAGTTGGGCTTCAATGCGCCGGACGGACTGAGCAAGGTGTGGGATGCTGATGCGGACGGCTTTGTACGGGGAGAGACGGTGGCCTGTCTGTTTTTGCAACGGGAGCCCGTGGCGAAGCGCATCTACGCGCGGATCCTCCACTCGCGCACGAACATTGACGGCTACAAGGCCACCGGCATGTTCTTTCCCTCCTCGGACGGACAGCTCGATCTGCTGGTCACTACGGCGCAGGAGGCCGGAGTGGACCCCAATTCGGTCACGTACTTTGAGGCCCACGGGACGGGAACAAAGGCGGGAGACTTTCAAGAGGCGTCCGCCATTCACCGGGCGTACTGCGCCGAGGGGCGACAGTCGGTGCTGCCGATTGGCCTGCTGAAGAGCAACATTGGCCACGGCGAGGGCGCTTCAGGTAAATAGAAGAATTTTTTAGATTTTTCAAAGTTTTTAATTTTTTTAACTCTTTAGGCGTCGCTTCGCTGACCAAGGTGGTGCTCGCCTATGAGCACGGCTGCATTCCGGCTAATCTGAATCTGCGAGAGATCAAGGCGAACATCAAGGAGCTGTCGCTGCTGGCGCCCATCACCGACAACCTGCCCTACGTGCCCGGCATCGCCGGCGTCAACTCCTTTGGCGTGGGCGGCGTCAACGGCCACGCCCTCCTTGAGCCCAACTACAAAACGGTCAGTGCCTCCAGTGCTCTGCCCATTGCCACGCCCACTCTGGCTCGACTGGTCCCCCTTCATGGGCGAACGAAGGAGTCGGTGGAGCACCTGATGGCTTTTATGGAGAACAGTCCGGAAAAGGTGACGCCCGACTTTCTGGCGCTCATTGCCGACGTCTTCAAGTACCGGCCGATGCTCAACTCGGCGGGTTTTCCCTATCGAGGTAAGGCTTTCTTTGTTTTTATCTTTTAAACAAGTACTTACTTTTAGTTCTTTTTCCCTAGGAACCCTGCTCATCAATGCCTCGGAAGAGAACGGATCAGCGCTGAGCTACACCCGTTCGCCGATCGAGTTCATCAACGCCCAGTACCGCAACCAGCTGGTCTTCTTCTACTCGGGAATCGGCGGCGGCCCAGTGGCCGCCCTCGCCAAGCACTTCACCGCCATTGAGCCCTTTGCTGTCCGTTTGCATCAGCTGGCCGGCGTGCTGAAGCCGCACGGAATCAACTTGGTGGACCTGTTGACAGTGGAAAACAGCGCTGAAAACTCCTCTCTGACGGCCAAGTTTGTCTCGACGACGGCCTTTCAGGTGCTGCTCACCGACCTGCTGACCACCCAGCTGGAGCTGGTGCCGGAGGCCATTGTCGGCCACTCCTTTGGGGAGATTGCCGCCGCCTACGCTCAGGGCTACCTGACGGCAGAGGAGGCCCTGCTGGTCGCCTTCCATCGCGGTCAGGTGCTGGAGCAGGCAAGGGCGGAGATTCCGGTGGGGCTGATGGCCGCAGTTGGGCTGTCGGCAGCAGAGGTCACAGCTCGCCTACCGGAGAAGGATAAGGCGAAGAAGGGAGGAGCAAGAAAGGGAGGCGTTTTTGTGGCCTGCAACAACGCCCCCAAACTGGTAACCGTTTCCGGGGAGGCGACCGCAGTGCGGGCTTTTGTTTCGAAGCTCGCCGAGGAGGGCGTTTTTGTGCGGGAGCTGGACAGTGCCCAGTACCCGCTGCACACGCCCTACCTGGAAGTGGTCAAGGAGCGGCTGCTCGGTCGACTGGAGGCGGTTTTCGCTGCTACTCGAGGATCTGCATCGGCGGTTGCTGCCTCGCAAGGAAAGGGGACCAAGATGGCTAAAAGCTTTTCTTCTGCTCCAACCTCATCGGAATCGCTCAAGTGGATCTCCACCTGTCAGCCGCCGGAGACGATGGAGGAGCTGCATGCTGCAAGTCGAGGTGAAACACTTTCTTCAAACACTTCCTCTTTCACCACCCGCCTCGCCCACTACTTCCTCGAGAACCTGCTCAGCCCAGTGGCCTTCACCGGTGCGTTGAATCGCCTCACCGAGGGCGCCATCATTCTCGAGTTTGCCGGCCGAGAGCTCTTTGAAAAGGTCATCACCGGGCGGCCAGGGGCAAACGCCAACGCTTCAAACACTGCCGCCACCTCTTTCACCTACCTTCCACTGATGCGCACCGCCTCTCGCGGCACTCCCGAAGCCCTGGTCACCGTCCTCTCCACCCTCTACCGACTGGGTTTCAACCCGGCGGTGGAACGCCTTTACCCGTCGGTCCGCTGGCCCGTTGCCCGGGGCACCCAGTCGCTGAGCAGCCTGCTCCGCTGGGAGCACAAGGAGACGTACCTGGTGAAGCGGTACCCGGACCATTTTAACAAGGCCACCGCTGCCGACCTGGTGGTGGAGATTGACCCGGAGAACCCTGAGTTTGACTACCTCTACCATCACGTCATTGACGGACGGACCATTCTCCCGGGCACGGCTTCGCTGGTGTTTGCCTGGAAGCGATACGCGGACAGCCGAGCCATTCCCTGGAACCGCCTACCGGTCCTCTTTGAGGACGTCCAGCTGAGGCGACCCGTTTTTCTGGATCGACACTCGAAGACAGTCCTCCGCGTTCGACTTCTCGAGCCGACCGGTGAGTTTCGCCTGCTGGAGGGCGCCAACCTGGTGGCCACGGGGACGATCCGCGAGCTGAAGAGCCCCGAGGGCTTTGCGTTGCAGCACATGCTCTCGCAGACGGTCTACGACCAGTTGAATGCGGACTGCGGCGGCATGACCACCATCGGCAATGAGGACATCTACAAGGACTACCGAGTGCGGGGCTATGAGTACGGGCCCAAGTTCAGAGGTATCGTCGACTTCTCCACTGACTTTAAGCGCCACTCCTATGGGTCGGTCCGCTGGGCCGGACACATGATCGCCTACCTCGACTCGCTGCTGCAGATGGGCGGGCCGGTGGTGCCGGTGAAGGAGCTGATTGTGCCGGTGGTCTTCAGCTACCTCAAGATTGACCCCAATGTGCTCTTCAAGGAGATTGACGTAAGTAGAAAAAAGTGTTTAGAAATCAAGGTTTTCTAACTTGTAAACTTTCTTTTCAGGCAAACAACATCAGCAGCTCCGAGGTGGCGCCCGAGGTGGAGGTGGGCGAGCTGCTAGCGGACAGCTCCGCCGCCGCCCACGTCGAGGAGGAGCTGGAGAATGAGGAGCTGGCGGAGATGCGCAGTAAGATGCAGGCAATTACCGGTGAGGCGGAGCATGTGAAGAATGCCGATGCGGTGCTGCGCTCCTACTGCAGCGTCGACCAGATGGCCATCGTGGCGCCCGGCGTGGAGATCCACAATGTGACGGGCGCCTCCATTGGCCGCAAGGTCCACCCGGCGCCGGTCACTGTCGAGGGCCACCAGTTTGTGGCACACTTTGAAGAGGTGGCAAATGAAAATCTGCTTCACCAAGAAGAGGTTAACAATGGCAGCGAGCGAGCCGCCGAGCTGGCGCAGTACGAGACGCTTTGTCGATGGGAGTATGGTCAGCTGCGAAAGCATTTTGGACTTCAAAGTACTGAAGAGGAGATCTCTGAGCCTGAAAAGACGCTCAAGGAGCGCTTTCTGGGCGCCAAGGAGGGCACCAACGTTCTGCTGAAGGTGCTCACCACTGCCGTCGCTGAGCTGGTCGATGAGAATAACAACAACACCAACACTAACAGTAGTGAAGAAAAGGAGCCCACTTTGATTTCCACTTCTGAAAAGGAACAACTCCAGCAACTGAACTCCCATCTGAAGGCGGTGTGTCTGAAGCTGGCCACCGGTGGAACTGAATCGTCGTCCTCTTCTGTCGAAACGCCTCCCTCTTCAACTGATGAACTTGACCCAATTCAGGCGGCTCTTGTGCGCAGCTACCTTCACGCCGACCTCACCGCTTCGACAGGCGCCGAGGAGCGACTGATTCGACCGCTGGTCGACCTGGTGGCGGAGAACTTTGTTCCGGCAAAGGAGCTCACTGTGCTACAGCTGGCCACCGAGCCGCAGCTGCCGCTGGCGCTCAAGGTCGACCGGTACCTGGCCACCTCGACCATCTTCAAGCTGAACATTGACTACAATCTGGTGCACTTGAAGGGAACCAATTCGACCGTGACCACCACCACCACCACCACCACCACCACCTCTGCTGAGGCAGCTTCTTCTGAGCAGATGCCGTACAACTTTACCTCTACGGCGGTGGAGCAGTGGCCGCCAGTCACCGAAGATCAACAGCAGCTTCAGCTGAAGGCCCAGCCTCACCTGGCGGTGATTGTCGACGATCCGGTAGCAGCAGGCAATCAGAAGAAGGGAAGCTTCTTCGACCTCGAAGACGGCCAGTTCTGGTCCACTCTGGCGGGCAGCACCACCCTCACGGCGTCAGGCTTTGCGCTGGTCCTCCTTCGCACTTCACTGGCGCCCATTGAGCGACAGCTCTACGAGGCGCTCTTTGAGGATAGTGAAGTGCCAACAGACGAAGAGCTGAAGAGGCGAGCGGAGACGGTGAAGGCGCAGGCGGCACTGCAGCACTTTTTGCCAGTCGGCTCGAAGGCTAGCCACGGCCACCTGGCGCTGATTTTCCGTTTCAGTCCCATTGATCCGCAACAGCCGGCACCGGTCTTCAGCACTGTGGTCTTTGAGGGCGACGAACAGCGCTGGCTAGAGACGGTGCAGGCTAAGCTGCGGGCAGTTAATGGCGATGCTGAAGAAGGGGATGAACCAGCTAAGCAGGATCAAGAGTCGAAGAAGGAGAAGTCCACAGAGGAGGCAGCAGCAGCAGTTGAGCAGCAGATCGTCTGGCTGCTGGCCGACCAGGCCACCCTGCCCGGCGCCCTCGGCTTCTTCAACTGCCTGCGAAAGGAGCCTGGCGGGCGTCAGTTTCGACTGCTTTTTAACCTCGACCAGGACCCGAACGCTGAAGACGCTCTGCGCCTCTTCAACCGCTACAGCGTCCACCTGACGAAGCTCGACCTGGCAGTGAACGTCTTCAAGTCGGGCACCTTTGGCAGCTACCGCCACCTGACTCGCAACCTGCTGACGGCCGCCAAGCTGACCACTGAGTACCACCTGAACATTGGCGCACTGAACTCTAACCGAAATGACCTGGGCAGTCTGGCGCTGGTCGACTCCACCGGTGAACGGCAGATTGGCCACCTTCCAGTGAAGGGAGGACTGATGGCAAATGTTCCGACTCGGGAGCGAAAGTACGCCGTCTACTCGTCGGCGCTCAACTTTCGCGATGTTATGGTAAGTGTTTTGGAATTTATCTTCCTTTAAACTCTTCCTTTCTAAAACTTCTTTTCCCCTTTTCAGCTCGCCTCTGGCCGCCTCTTTCCACCGGTGCAGCTGCTGACGCAGAACTGCATGATCGGCACCGAGTTTGCCGGACGCGACCTGGAGACCGGCGAGCGCGTCTTTGGCATCCACCACGGCGGCGCCTTTGCCACCGACCTGCACCAGCTGCCGCTCTACGTGCGACCGATTCCACCGGGCTGGAGCTACGACGACGCCGTCGGCGCCGTCACCGTCTACTTCACCGTCTGGTACGGCCTCCTCTACAAGGCTCGCCTGGAGCGAGGGTCCACCGTGCTGATTCACTCCGCCGCAGGGGGCGTCGGCCAGGCGGCGCTGCACGTCGCCAAGGCCTACGACTGCACCATCTTTGCGACGGCCGGCTCACCGGAGAAGAGAGCCTGGCTGGCGGAGCACTTTGGCCTGCCGGAAAATCACATCTTCAGCTCTCGAGACACCGTTTTTGAGCGAGAGATCCGGGAACGGACGGCGGGCGCCGGCGTCAAGTACATCGTCAACTCGCTGATTGGCGAGCAGCTGGACGCCAGTCTGCGGCTGATGGCCGACAATGGCCACTTTATTGAGCTGGCAAAGGCGGAGATGCAGAACAACAAGCGCATTGGCACGTTCGCCTTCCTCCGCAATCTCTCCTACCACGGCGTGGCCATTGAGCAGCAGATCTTCAAGGAGACGCATCGAGTGGGCGAGTTTTACGACTGGATGTTGGCCAACTGTGAGGTGGGACGGGAGGATGCGGCTGTGAAGCCGATCACGGCGCACGTCTTCTCGGCGGAGAATGCCGTCACTGCCTTTAGGTGAGTTTGAAAAAGGAGTTTTTTCTTTACAAATGTTATAATATCAAAAAATCTTATTTACCAGATTCATGACCACCGGCAAGCACAAGGGCAAGATTGTCATTCGCTTCAGGGAGGAAGAGGAGGAGAAGACAGCGAGCAGCACCATCGCCCCCGCCGTGCCTCGCCTCGCCCAAACGCGCACCTACTTTGACCCCTACGCGACGTACATTGTCGTCGGGGGCTGCGGCGGCGTCGGCATTGAGCTGGCGCACTGGCTGGTGAAGAAGGGCGCCAAGCGAATCGTCCTCACCACTCGCAGCAAAACACGAACGCCCTACCAGGCGCTCTCGCTGGGCACGCTGGCCATCACCGGCTCGGTCTTTCAGTTTTTCACCAACGAGCTGGCCTACTACAGCGAGGACCTCTCCACGGAGGAGGGCGTTCGCGCGCTGATCCGCCACGTGCAGACAGAGTTTGGACCGGTGGGCGGCGTCTTCCACCTGGCCGTCTCGCTGGCCGATGGCCTCCTCAACGGCATGAAGTACGCGGAGGGATGGCGCCGAACGGTGGACTCTAAGGCCACGCTGGCGGTCCACCTGGACGCCGTCTCTCGAGAGCTCTGCCCCTCACTGCCCTATTTTGTCTGCCTCAGCTCAGTCAGTGCGGGCAGGGGAAATGTGGGCCAGACGAACTACGGCTACGCCAACTCGGTGCTGGAGCGAATCGTCGAGCGGAGGAGGGCGGACGGCCTGCACGGCCTGGCAGTTCAGTACGGGCCCATCGGCGACGTCGGTCTGCTCAGTGAGCTGGACGCCACCGGCGGCAGTGGAGTGCAGGCCTTTGCCAGCGTCCAGCTGCAGCGCATCATCTCCTGTCTGGAGGTGCTCAATCGGGCGATGGCCTCCGACCATCCGGTCGTCTCCTCGCTGGTCTTTGCCGAGCGAAGCGGCGGCGCCGGCTCGGGCGCCGGGGCCGGCGGCACCTCTGAAGGCATGCTCCACCACCTGTGGTCGGCGCTGGGCGTCGATCCGGAGACGCTGCCCGACCACGTCACCCTCGGCGAGCTGGGCATGGAGAGCATGTTTGGTGAGTTTGCTCAATTCTAGCTCTGAACTCTCTTTTTTTAACTCTCTCTCTCTCTCTCTCTCTCTCTCTCTCTTCTAATTTTTTAGCCGTGGAGATGCAGCAGACACTGGAGGTGGAGTACGGCGTCCGCCTCTCACTGGCAGAAATTCAACTGATCACCGTCGGTGAGCTGAAGAGCACCGACAAGGAGCGCATGTTTGAGCACCTGAGCAAGCTGAAGGAGTTCAAGGCGTACCTGCTGTCGGTGAAGTTGGAGCTCTCGTCGACGCCCACCGAAACGCTGAACAGCGTCACCGAGGGAGAGCCTATTTTCATGCTGCCCGGCGTGCTAGGCGTCTTTGGTGGCATGCGCAGCTTCGCCGAGCGAATCACCTTCCCGGTTATTGCGCTCACGGTGACCAAGGAGGTGAACTCCCGCCACGTGGACGTCAAGGCGGCAGCCACCTACTACAGTGCCCTTCTCAAGCGAACCTTTCCCAATCTTCGACGGTACAATCTGCTCGGCTTCGACTACGGCGCCCTGGTGGCGATGAAGATGGCTCGTCGAGGCCTGCCCTGTCGAGTGGCCGTCGTCGACCTGAAGCAGAACTCGCGAGCGGTGAATCTAGATGCTGAAGAGGGTGATGAACAGCAGGTGCTCTACGAACAGTTGATTGACTTTGTCATTGGCGTCCTCCTCGCGGGCAGCTTCAAGAACGTCGAGGAGAATCGAAACACCAAAGAGCGTCTGCTGCGAGCCGTCCACGTGGAGGTGACCTTTGAGGGCAAGGTCCGGGCGATTGCCGCGGAGATTCAGAAGCTTCGAGACACCGGAAGGGACAAGGTCAAGGCAGAGGAGGTGGAGGAGGTGATCAGCGGTGCGCTGAGACGGGCTCAGGCGATGTTCGAGTACGACCGGCGGATGGCGGCAAAGACGGCGAAGAAGGGCGGCGAGCGGCTGGTCAGTCGACTGCTCGGGAAGCTGGCCAAGGCGCAGGGCCGTTTTCTGGTGCTCAAGGATGGCGGAAACGGTGAAGAAAATTCCAGCGAAGGTGGCGGTCTGCTCTCCAACTACTTCCGCGCTGAGGACTTGATGAAGCTGGGCACTGAGGAGCAGCGTGCCGGACTGATCAACCTTCGTCAACAAGAGACGCTGACGCTCAACTCCAGCGCAGAACTGCTCAATCGGTTCTTTGCCTCGAAGTCCTTCTAGTGAAGATGAATCTTATGTTTTCGATTCTTTTTGTTTGTACAAAGCGCGCATATCATGCATGGCATACTTTTCCTTTCTATCTTTTAAATCAAACAATATAAAAGTGACGCAGAAACAGTTCATTTGTTTCCTTTCAATGCAAACAAAGTTCAATATAAGTTTTTTGAACAAAGATGCTAATTTTAAATTTTTTTGCTGAGCTCAATCGCCAGACACTAGACACTGTATCATTCGGTGTTAAGATTTTACGAGGGAACATCACCCCCGTATCTCCCTAATCTCCCTTATCTGACTGGATCAGCGACGAAGGCCTGGTCGCCGTCCTCTCCGCCTGTCCCAATCTGCTGCACCTCAAGCTGGTCGGCCTGCCCTTTGCCACCGACCGCTCGCTGAACCTTATTCCGCGGCTGATGACCGGCCTGCGGACGGTCAAGTTGGTCGACGTGAACCTCTCCGACCGTCTGGTGGTGACGCTGCTGGAGCGCTGCCCCGCCCTGCGCACCCTGGTCATCGACTTTCCCGACGGTGGCCAGGCACAGCCGTACCACCTCAGCGAGGCGGTCATCCACGAGGCAGTGGCCCTCTGCAGTCGCTGCCCGCCCGCCGACTGACGCATCAGCAAGTCACTGCTGTCCACGCACAAGCTTTTCACCATTCCCGCCAACCTGTCGCTGAAGATAGTCCGCTCGAGGGCCTTTCACGGACGGGCGGCGGCCATCTACGTCGATGAGCCCGTCGTCGGGTGAAAAGAGAGATAGACAGAGGACACTGTTTGGATCTTCCCCTAAGCCCTGCCAGCTTCTTTGCTTTATTTATTTACAGAGATTTAATATACAGTTACAATCAATTTAACAACTGCGGTAGTAGGTGGGTGGTTGTGCCGACAACATTAGAGCAAGGTAAGAAGGTGCACCAGGAACAGTAGAAGAGGAGGAGAAAAAGGAAAACGATGAACTGGTAGAAAGGATGACCAGAATGAGGAGGAAAAGGAGGAGAGAACGGCAGTCAGGATGATGGGCACTGTTGGCGAATAGAAACAACCGGGCTATAGTTTTTGACAACAAAAATGAAACTTCTCCTCTTTTACCTGAGGTAGTGGTGGCTGCAACGGCCCTGCTACTGCCGCCGCTGCTGCTGCTGGCAAACTGCGACTCCCAGCTCTGATTGTCGTAGGTGCGAATCTGCAGCTTGGCGTGCACTTGAGCAATCTGCCGCGAGCTGTAGGAGCGACAGTGCAGTCGCAGCTCCGGCATCTGAATCAGCCGCTTCTCCATTAGCAGCCTCAGGCCGAGCACTTCGGAGTACGGAGGGCTTCGGCTGCTGCCGCCTCGATTTGCTGTTGGCGGGTAGCGGACAAGGTGGGCGTCGTTTACCTGGAGAGAAGAAACCCAACAAGTGAGATTGTTTGCTGATTTTTGAGAAAACTGTTCAAAGTGTCCTACCTCTCTGTTCATGATGAACCATTTGAGCTTGGCGTTGCGCACTGCAGAGCTGCAGTTGAGATTGAGTGTCTCATTCAGCTGGTAGTTTCGCTTCATGCCCTCAATCACCGGCGTCTTCACGTGTGGCCATTCTGTGCAGGTTAGTTTTTTTGTAAACAAAGTTGGGAGTTGTGGTTTTTGAGAAAACTTTCTCAAACTTCTTACCTCGCCTCGAGCTGGCTCCACTACTACTGTGGTGGTGGTTGTGGTAATTGTTGTTGTGGTTGCTGTTGTGGTTGTTGAGAGATCGATTCTTGAAAGACCCTGTCACTAGATGCTCCGTCGACTCGTACTCGTAGACAATCGTCAGCGTCGCCGTGCAGCGAATCTCGAGGACGCCCCGCTGAAAGTCCGCCCCCTTGGCGTACATGTTCAGCGCCAGACTGGTCGCCTGCAAGCCTCCTGCCTGAGAGCTGGAAAAGGAGGAGGAGGAACCACCTCTAAAAGCACTTCCGTTTCCTCTTGATGCCAGCGATGATGATGATTCATTTCTTTTGGCCAATTTAGAACCACCACCACCACCGCCACTCAAGAGCGTAGTGTACCGCGCGTCAACGGGCACGTCATTTACGAACCACTGCAGCCGCAGTGGTGGGTGTGCCCGGCCAGAGCGGCACACCAGGCTAATGTTGTCGCCCAGGTTGTACTGCTCCAAGGCGCCTTCAATTACCAGACTTTCATTTGGCAAAACTGAAAATAGGAAAATAGAATTAAAAGCTGCAGAATGAAGCAGATCTCTTACCGTAGATTTTCATCAGCTGTTCCCGGCGAACAGTCGAGAATGCGGGACCTGAATGGAGAAGGAGAGGAGAAGACGGAGGAGTTATCATACTGCTTTAAGTTTACGATTCTCTTCCTGGTCATTTTGTCGATAATGGGCTCTCATCGGCGCTATCTCTTCCCTGTCATCTGGTTGCTCTCTTCTAACAGGGTGGCAGATACATCAGTTGCTGGTTGTTGGGCTAATCATGGTGGCGCCTTAATTAATTTATCGCCCTCTCTCTACCTCCCTCCTCTTGTCACTGAATGGGTAAACGACAGCACTACTATAAATCTATTATCTACTCGGTATATCAGACGCTTTTTGGGAAGAAAAAGAAGGAGAACACAAGACTGAAAAGGGAGAGCACTGAGAAGACACTGGAGACTCGCCCTTCTTCTTCTACTACTTCCACCACCTCTCTTTTTCCCCGCTTTTTTGCTATGGTAAACAGGGCAGGTAAATAATTGATTGAACAGAGAGTGAGAGTGAGAGCAAAAGTGGAGTAGGAAAACTAAGAGTTTGCCGCCGTCGCCGCTTACTTTCGGTGCTTATTTCACAGACGTAGAGGCCGTCAGAATGCTGTGGAAAGAGAAGAAGAGAAAGAAGAAAGAAAGAGTCAGTCAGAAATGATCACGCAATGGGTTAGAATGAGTCTGCAGTGCAGACTGTGTTGAATGGAAATTCAATTCTCTCTTCTTTTTAGCCAGACTCACCAGATTGGTCCTCGTGAGGACGGCATGCGTCGCGTTGGATTCTGTCATCTGCAAAGAGGAAAGAAGGTGAGGGGGCGATAATGCCAGTTATAAAGTGAATCAATATTGTGGTGCTGGTGGTTAATGCACTCTGCTGTATTCTGTCTGTGTCAATTGAATTTTCCCCCATTCTTTGCCTCTATCTCGATGTCAGTCCGTCAGTCGATGTCACTCTCTTTCTCTCACTTTCTCTTTCTTCTCTTGTCGGAACGGGCGATTGACTGAACACTGACTGGACACGCCAGATCTTAGGTGAGTCACTCACTCTGTCTGCTGGTGATTTTCCCTTCTTTGGAAACGGGCACACAACGAATCGAGTGATTTCTCTTTCATTAGCACTCTCTAATATCTCAGCATTCTCTTCCTCTTCCTCCTCCTCTGATCAGCTATCTCGTGTATCTTTGGGTGTGACTCCATATTAATAATGCTCACACTCACTTCGAACGCATTGAACTGATTAATAGAGCTAGTGCAGTTTCTCATTCACTCACTCACTCTCTAATAAATCACTTTGATTGACCCCTGCCCCTGGCTTGTCTTCTTTAGCTTTTCTTCAGCAAAAGGCAAGACCTATTGACAAAAAGTGAGAGTTTACTATCCTCTTCCTCTCTAAACCATTTTAATTACGCACTCTGCTAAGCTCACTGTCGTTAATTGGCCTAATTGCCCAGTGGAGGTGGTTTTGTTGTTGTTGTCGTCGACCTTAATGTCACTGATGATGATGATGATGAGAGTTCCTTGGAGCAGCAGTTTCAGTTTGACCGATCACAGTCTGGTCTCTGATCGGCGCGCGCAAACCTGATCGGTGCAATGCCTCTTCTCTTTTTCCTAT